CACATCTTCAACTATTTGCGAACTGTAATCTAATCTAGGTCTACCTCTACCATTCCTAACTCCTGTTTCTACTTCTAATATGTCTCTGACTGGACCTTCATAGCTGAGAAAGTGTCCTACCACCCTATCTCGCCTTTTTTTTATTGACTTGCATAGAGTCCTTTGTTCTCCTATCCTTTCTAATACCTTTTCATTTCTAACTTTCTCTATTCACGGTATCCTCATAATTCGCCTATAACACCCCATTTCGGACGCTTCTAATCTTTCTTTTCCGCCGCGTCCACCGTCCACATTCCGCACCCGCGCTCCAAACATACACCTTTAAAAATCTTCTCTAAATTTCTGAATTAATCGTTTCATTAGCACTTCTTTTTATTGAAGGCGACTCGACCCTGCGCTAGCCTCTGGTTTATATACCTACTACTCCTTTCGTTCTGACTTGTCTGACTTCCTAGATACCTAAAATCAGTCACTTCTTCTAATCCATCGTTTCCTATCTGTACATTCACTCTTTCTGCCATTGTATACCAGTATTTTTGTTTTACTTACGTATCTTCATACAATACTGTTTTGTCAATACTGTTTCCATTTTATTTAAAGCTATCTCTAACTCCTCCTTGCTAGATGGTAATACTGCTAAATCATCTGCAAATCTAAGCATACTAATATTTTGCCCCTGTATATCTATCCCTACAGTTGTACTGTGTTTAATGATGTTGATCGCGTCTTCTACGTATAGATTAAAAAGTAGCGGTAACAGTGTGCATCCTTGTCTAACTCCCTTCTCAATATCTTTCTATAATATAAAATATATTCTTGTGTATATCTATAACATGTATGTGAGTATATTAGTTTTAGAAACACATTGGATAAAACTTTTATGCTGAAAATCACATTTAACAAAGCCTCCTTTTCAACAGAAATTAGGTCATTTTGTAGCGGTCAATACCAACATAAACAAAACGTATGAAATACATGCTGTCCATGTACCTATGTAATTGTAAGAATTCTATTCCATAATTCGTTTCAGATTACCTTAGTTAACATAACACTTGACGATTCCGTTTTGAAATATGTGAGCCAGAAAACAGAAAAGAAAGCACGTCAGTGGTTTTCTGTCATGTTAACGTTTCCTTTAAGATAAAACTCATTTGCTTTATTCAAATATCGCGTTCACGATTTAGCTTCGTGTCATGCTTGCTGTTTTCTAAGTGCTCTCTTGTGATGGTTAGGAATGACAAACCGCTAAAAATTTATCCGTATCGCGAACATAATAACTTACTCAAATTCCTCTTTCAGCGAGAAACTTAACAAGCAATTCGGTCTTGTATTTCGTTTTTCCTGTAATTGTAAACTTGCATGCGACTGCCATGTTATCAGTGAATTTTCCATATATGAGCTTTTTCTCGTAATGACTATAATAAATAACTCTCCAAATGGTGTGCGATTCTGTAAACGAAGGTCATTATTCACACAACATTCGCTTTAATCATTCACGCGGACTACTAATTGCAAGAAAATCTAGCTGAATTTTTTAAACGAAACATCGCACTATTACAATCAAACTAGATGTACGCTAGAATGGATGGTTGTTTTTATTTATAAGTGATATAAATAGAATTGCATATTACGGTTGCATACTTCGTTTAGTTTCTCTAGCGATGTGACCTTTAGTTTGACCGGCGCAAATTAGAAAAGAACAGAACTAAGCCAGAAAAGAAAGGAGATGTACTTCGTTTAGTTTCTCTAGCGATGCGGCCTTTAGCTTGTCCGGCGCAAAGTAGAAGAGAACAGCACTAGGCCAGACAAAATAGGAGACAACTCTCGGCCAAACTTTTAACCAGCGAGGAGAGTATAATCCGTCAGTGCTGCACGGAAAAATTGACCATTTTATCCACTAAAATTGCATTGCTCGAATGTGCTGTTTTTGGTACTAATTACAACTGAAAATATCAACGAGATGTTTATTTATATTTGAATACATAAAGGCTTTAACGCTTATTTTCCACTCGCACTACTATTCATGATTGAAGAAAACTTTTGACAGGTACTGTACGAAAAAGTATGTTTAATGAGAAAGAGTCGAAAGTATATAATGAGCTCTTTTCTCCCTACTTACTATTTTGACTGTACGCATTGAAGACATCGGAAGGGGCACATCTATAGTGAAAGTAAACGAAGTGTACTTTCAGTGACTACAGAAAATGTTCTAAAAATCTAGACACATGACAATGTATCACTCAAACGTCGTTGCAGGTAATGTGTACATTTTACCACCCATTATTCAAAAACTTTTACACCTACACAGTTACAATTTTGTATACTTGATAAGGTCCTCTCGAATGCCAAGAATATCAATTTTAACGAAATAACTGTGATAGCTCTCCAGCTATTGAGGTCTGATAAGTACAATTTTTATTCAGTCATTAAAGCTGCAAAAGAATACAAAGTTGCTTATGTCAGGTTGAATAACAAATATCATGGTCATTATATAAGTAAAAACCGGTCAAGTGCGAGTCGGACTCGCTCACAAAGGTTCTGTACCATCATCTATAATAATATAACTCAATATTCTGCTAATATTTCAAGCATCTTTCTGTTGCCGTTATCAATATCGAGCAAAAACGAGCAAAAAAGTTACGTTTGTTGTATGGGAGCCCCTTAAATATTTATTTTATTCTGTTTTTAGTATTTGTTGTTATAGCGGCAACAGAAATACATCATCTGTAAAAATTTCAACTGTCTAAGTATCACGATTCGTGAGATACAGCCTGGTGACAGACGGACGGACGGACAGCGGAGTCTTAGTAATAGGGTCCCGTTTTACCCTTTGAGTACGGAACCCTAAAAATGACAACTGTTATGTAGATTTAAAAACAAAAGTGTAGTTTCGAATCAATTTTGATGTTTCATATGTCATCAGGCGACCCGTGACGGCTAATTCACCGTTTTTATTATTATTTAGCAAGACAATGTATTATGAAGCTTTGTAACCACAAAATCAACATATAAAGTAAGTTCATACTGTTAACAACACTAACTATGTTTATGTTATACGTAATATCCTGTTGGAATTTGACATTTTCAGTTATTATGTACTGTTCCTCGAGGTTAAATATAAAATACATGTTTTTACGATAGAGATACTTATCTAGTTTTATCTAGCAATAAAGGTGGAAATTTATTCCCTCTAACGTCAACTTTTATTATTATAAGCAAGATGTTAGTTGACAAAACTTCCTGCAAACATTTATATACACATATATCTAACATATGAGGGAAAAGCTGAAATACATTTAAATAATTATGATGTGTATCAAATATCCAGTAATGATTAACTCTTTACTTGTCAGTTATTTTTATGTAAGTCATTTAGACAAAGTGTATTAGACGTAGAACTGTACTATATGAATACAGTATAAAACGGTAGAAAGTTTAAACAATAATACGTATGATATAAAAATGCAGTATTTAAATATTTAAATAAAGTTGAACTTCGTTTACTTTCTCTAGCGATGTGCCCCTTCCAATGTCAATGTCACGCTCAATATTCTCTGGACTCTTGTTCATTAGACATACTTTTTCATACAGTACCTGCCAAAAGTTTTGTTCAATAATGAATAGTAGTGCGTTAAAGCCTTTAATATGTCTTCAAATATAAATAAACATCTCGTTGATATTTTCAGTAGTAATTGATACCAATAACAGCACATTTGAGCAATGTAATTTTAGTGGATAAAATGGTCAATTTTTCCGTGCAGTACTGTACGAATTATACGCTCCTCACCGGTTAAGAGTTTGGCCGAGAGTTGTCTCCTTTCTTTTCTGGCCTAGTGCTATTCTTTTCTACTTTGCACCGGTCAAGCTAAAGGTCACATCGCTAGAGAAACTAAACAAAGTATAACTACCGTACTAATTGAAATAAAGCTTATTAAATTGAGAGTGTCGGTAGGAAGATATTTGTGAACAAAACGATGGGCTGACTTTGTTACAGTTATTAATTCTAAAATTTTCATCACATTCTTGGCTTCATCAGGAGATCAATGTTATAAATTCATCTGTAAACTATGTGACGAATTGTATATATATATATATGAATTACTATGAAACTATCATAATAAATTCGATTGAAAATATATAACTCATCACATACTTTACAGTGAAAAACTTGATTAATATTATACTAGCTTTTCTACTTGGCCTAGAAATACGCGGTTCAACATCCAGCGGCAGGAAAAACTTTAATTTACTAAGGTTCTTTAATAAGTTTGGTCTTTGAAGATTATATTTGGGACATTGCCACCACTACATGATTTATGTCCTCAGTCTGGTGACCACATCACTTATTTACTCCTAAGTCTATTTCGAAACAACTGCCCTTCTGTCTAAAAACTGATTGTGAAACCAAGTTTCTCTTCTTTTATTTGTGTCGACTACAGTTTAGCTTGACATTAGCGAGTTCTCATAGGGTTACGTGATGAATATGTATGCTTAATAAAAACCGATTAATGTATTGTATAATAAAACTAATGGTAATTATTAATCGGTAAAGTATTATTTAATATTTTAAAAATTAGAGGGTAGTAGTTGTACGTGCGTTGAGTAAAATGAGGAACATCAATAAGCAGATTCAATAGAAATTGATGACAGTAGAATATGAGCAGGTATGACAGCGTGTGGGTATGATCCCAACTTTAATGCATTCAAATCTTCCAAAAACCATATAGAAAGGAAAGCATCTAACTGCTTTTGTAAAAAGATGACAGATTTTTCATGCGACCCAAATTCAATCAATACGCTTTTATTGTGCGAGATGAAAAGGGTACAATACGTATAAGTCACTTATTTATCTCCTTCTTCGCACGTCACGGGCGGCAGACGACGAGCGATAGGAGCAAAAATTGCGGGTCTTTTTGCCTCAATTTCGTTTTCCCGTCAATCTTCATATATACCATGAGCGATTCCGGATAATCCGACTAAAAATACTCTTTTTTTTTCAGGGGTGTTTTGCTCCAGGGCAAACAACAGTTGGATGAGGCCATTAAAAGCTACCAGAGAGCAATTCACTTTCGCCCGACCTTGGCACGTAAGTAATTCACATTAAATATATTTCTTGGTTTGAACAATGCGTTTCCGATAAATTAAAACGAACCAATGTTTCAAGGATATATGTGTTTATTAAAACTGCGTTTGGGAAAATGCTATTCATTAATAGCGATCTCTTATCTACGGATACTACAACTTCTTATCTGTGAAGTTGTAAACCAATCAATTATTTATATTATAGTGCAGTCCTTTTCGTTAGTATTCAAAAGTTTCACTTTTGAGGAATTACATTCACTTTATTGTAAACTAGCGACCCGCCCCAGCTTCGCACGGGTGCAATGCTGATACTAAATATATTTTTGTTTTGTTTATATTATTGTCGAGAAGGGGAAATCTTCAAAAGACACCCCATGAACATGCTAAATATACTACAGAATGTCTTTAAATACAACATTCACAGTTTTTTTGTCATTAAACAATACAAACCGGCCCGACCTCCCGGCCGGTACCGCCGCAACCACTATGTCCCTGCATTTTAAATCTGTAACATCTTCGACAATATTCATTTAAATTAGATGCTGTAAAGGGCCATATTGATTTATATTAAATGCACAATGTATTTAAGGTATCTAATTGGATAAGAATTAATGCTGTATTGCTTACCAATCGCTTCGTAAATAAATCATTATTTCTCATAAAAAGTAAAGGATAAGAAATGGTTATTGTGGGTTATCCCTAAGAGATAGACATATACCATCCTGGACTTTTTTGTAGACCTTTTTAAGGTGTACAATACTGTAGTATATTATTTTGATCTATCTCGTAGGGTTTAGCCAGCGTTTGCAATATAACCGCAAAAAATGGTTTATTTACGACATCACATTAGAAACCTCTAAAATTATCAGTGTTTCCCTACTATATTATTTATGTATTATGCATATAAACCTTCCTCTTGAATCACTCTATCTATTAAAAAAACCCGCATCAAAATCCGTTGCGTAGTTTTAATGATTTAAGCATACATAGGGACAGACAGCGGGAAAGCGACTTTGTTTTATACTATGTAGTGATATAGCAAGACTGACGTAAATACCTTGAATTTAACTTAAAAGTGAATATCCTAAATTACGTCTTCCTTGATTTACATTACACAATACAATGCGGTGGGCATATTTTGTAATGGAATTCATAATCTAATATAATGTCCCAATTAAATTTATTTCATTGTCTTTTCCATTTAATAAAAAGTGCTATTTTCTGAATATTACATTAGCCACATGTCTGGATCTGCCACTTTTCGAAGGTATCCAATAGCATTCAGGTTTTTATGCTATTTGCTATTTGTTATACGGATAACATAAGAACCTACCAAAAAAATTTAATGTAGACGAAGCGTTGGCTGTCGATTAATTCAATAAAAACCATATAACCCTAAAAATTGATTCTGATTTTCCCATTCAATTGGAAAAAGTGGACTATTGCTTATTCATTCTATACATGCCTACACTTGTACAAGTTTTAATAACTCTATACAGGCTAAAGTCGAATGAGATTGACTACTTTTTCGAAAAAGTCTTTAAATGAATTCAAACGCAAACCCTTAAATATTTCCATGTATGAACAAATGGAATTATGTTACTTCCAAACAAGTGTCAAAATTCTCCTTTTTATTTGAAGCAGCATTTATTATTCACAGAAAATTGAAGATGTCCATCTGTTCCAAATGTTAGGGACACAGAGGCTACCGAATTCTGAAGATCAAATATTGATGTACGAGGTATGTTCAAAAAGTATCGCGAATTTTAAATTTCCGCGGGATACATATATTCGATTTTCGATCCTTTTGTGGCGTTATGTTGATACTCATGTCTCTCACTTATATTGACACGTTTCAATTTTTGCCTGTTACAAAAAATGTATATCTGTATCAAATTTTGTGTGAAAAACAAAATTAAGTGCCCGGTCGCATTTCGAATATTGACTGTGATATATGGTGAAGCTACCTTGGACCGAACCAACGTTTATAACGTTTATCGGTGGTACAAAATGTTCTCAGAGGGCCGAGAAGATGTTAAGGACTAACAGCGTGCCGGACGCCCGAACACGTCAACAATAGATGAAAACATTGACGAAGTGAAGAAAATAGTATTGGCCAATCGTCATTAGAAAAGTTGCTGAGTATCTAAACATACCGATTGGCTCCTACCATTCAATTTTTACCAAATAAATTCGTAGTAAAATTGCTCAATTTCGACGAAAAACAGCATTCTATTAACATTGCTAAGGAGGTATTTGACTCTGTCCACGACTATCCAAATTTGCTCCAGAGCCTCATAACTAGTGACGAATCGTGGGTTTATGGTTATGTTAGGTTAGTGCGGATAACGGAATACCCCTTTTCACTTTCCTGAACCCTCCTTTTTACCTTCCTTTATTCCCCTTATTAATATTTTTCTCATTTTATCGAAAACTATCCACTTTATGAGAAAAATAAAAGTAAACATTTTTGAAGTTGACAACATGTCTCTTCCAACGATGTGTCAGAATCCCTCCTTCTAGTGAATATTTTGCAGCCCAGTGACGTATCATCATTTTTATTCTGCCGTTTTTCGTAGGAAACATATTTCTATTAAAAAAAGTATTTCTACTTAAATCATCAATGAAATAATAATTTATTAATCTAGCTTGACTAATTGTAAGTCTACATCCTTAATATCTCACCTTTAAAAAATTATATGTATACATAGACGACATGCTCAGAATTACGAAAATATGATACAGATGATATAAATGATAGACCACAAGGATCGAATATAATTTTATATTTTTCGAAAAATACTTTTTTTTAACAAAAATATGTTTCCTATAAAAAACGCACAATAAAAACAAATTTAACAAAAGAAATAAATTTAACCCTATCTTGATACGCCGCTGGGCTGCAAAATATTCACTCGAAGGAGGGGTTGTAACAGATCCTTGGTAGGGAAATGTTGTCAGCTTAAAAAATATTTACTTGGGTTTTTCTCGTAAAGCGGATAGTTTTCGAGAGAATGAGAAAAATATGAAGAAAGGGGGGTTCAGGGGGAGAAAGGAGGATTCCGTCACCCGCTCGGCTCGGCAAGTTGAAATTCGGATTCAACAACCCCAAAAATATAAATAACCGTTGAGAAATTTAATTCCGGATTTTTTTTAACGGAATAATAAAGAGCCTGTGTCCAACATGAAGGTATATGAGTAGTTTCAGAGTTCAGAGATTATCTAGTATATCAAAATCTACAAACTTAGAAACTCACAAACATTATCTCTTTATAATATGTATTAATATAGATTATAAAAACTTATCCTAAAAGTCAAACCTTATTTTTTAATTTTGTTAATTTTGTATCATCGTTTTTTGGACTATAATTTCAGTGGAAAATAAAATGTTAAGAATTCCTTCTCTGAGTTCGCTAGAGAAAAATAATAGGTTTCGTAAAACCACCTTTTTATCATAGAATAAACACAAAGCAAAAATGAATCATAAATGTTTTTTTAAAAATAGGTCAAGCACCAGACACAAAAATTTCACACTAGATATAAAAAGGCGGTGGTAGCAGCCATCAAATAGGTCCATATTTGGGAATAGTCGGAAGAAAAAGTCTCCAAAATGGTTTGACTAAATCGATGACCTCGTATGTTGAACTAGCCAATCCCAAGGCGCCAAGATCACTTCACCAACAACCAAAGACGATTAATAATGCAACCACAGAACAGATTTTTAGTAATGCATCTTTCTACAAAAAAAAAACACTAAAAATTACCTACAGTACCAGTAGTAGCACATTCCATAACTCCAGCAAACCTTATCTTTTAATGATGATATCTGATTTTCGCACTACATTACCAAAACAATAATTCCGGTAGGAAATAAAATGCTAAGTATACTCTGTCTGAGTTCGTTAAGGAAGAACCGTAAGTTTCCTAATAACATCGTTATACCAATAAAAGTGTAAATTATATAAGGCTATAAAATGAATGATTCATGCAACGATAAAGTCCTACTTCATCAACCGCTTCGCTAAATTTAACCTTTCCAGAAAGTCGTGGTGTTGTTTAGATCGACTTTACGTAAAACGTAAAACAAAACAGCTACTTTGAACTAATCTAAAACGAGGGCAAGCCATCTGAACGGGTTGCGGTTTCATCGACCACCGAAAAGCCATCAGTTCCACACCATGATAAACCATCCTTTCAATGAATACGATAGAGACATTGAAAGCTATAATATATTACGATGAATGTAATCTTAGCCATTAGTGTAGTTCCTGATAGAAAAAATATATGACTCCTACTGTTACGTTCTCTAAAATGATAGATAAATAAAAATGGATTTTGCTGTAACTGAACGGTGTACATTCCAAATGTGAAAAATAATTTTGAATCTTTTTAAGTGCGAATGAATAGGACACACTGATTGAAAAAATTTTAAAGGAATTTAATTACTATTGCTATAGTTGCTTCGTCAGATAATAAAATATCATATTGGAGGTGTACAGGGTGTTTCTGAAATAGGGAGTAAGCTTTGGAGGGTGCTAATAGGAAATCGCATGCTGAGTAAAGTAGCGTGATTAAGAAAATTAGAAGAAGTTACCATCCGAAGCCGGTCCTGGACGTGAGTTGAATAGGTACATAACAGGTCAATTGAAAAGTCCCCGGCCTAAAATAGTAAAACACATTTTTTTTGCAAAATTCGTTTTTTTTATTCAACATAATTCCCTTCAAGGGTGATACACTGATTATAGCGATCCTCCAACTTTTCGATACCATTTTTGTAGTACGATTTGTCCTTTGCTTCAAAATAGGCCTCAGTTTCGGCGATCACCTCTTCATTCGACGAAAATTTTTTCCCAACGAGCATTCTTTTGAGATCTGAGAACAGGAAGTAGTCGCTGGGGGCCAGATCTGGAGAATACGGTGGATGCGGAAGCAATTCGAAGCCCAATTCATGAATTTTTGCCATCGTTATCACTGACTTGTGAGACGGTGCATTGTCTTGGTGAA